CGGGGGGGGGGGAGGAGAAACTGATTAGTTGACTGACTCTCCGGTAAGTATTTGGAGAGTAGACTAGTCGTCAACATCCTTAGTAGAGGGCTGGCCCATATTCCCCTATCAGCCATGGAGGATTTGGCAGCAGCAGGCAGAGGCCAGTGGACTGCTTGATTGATTGTTGACTTTGTTGTTCCCACCCCCATTTAAAAATCTGGCACTTAATGCTCTGACTTATCCATGTTTTAATGTGTCTGTCTTAAATTGCACTTTAGTTTTAGTCAAACAAGTCTGTGATGGGAGGGGAGGAGAAGAAGAGCAGGTCAGAGTCTTGTTTAGCAAAGTATGTGTTACATCTTCCATGAACAGAGTAGAGTATTTTCAAGCAGCACTCTCAAGGATGGGCTTCCACTAAGGCTTAATATTTAGGGAGAAAAATGTGGCTTACAGTGGGTAGGGCTAAAACTTCATTACAGACAAGAACCACAGCAAAGATGGAGTGTTTTCACAGTCCCAAGGTTTACCTACAAGTAGCTCTTTTGCTTTGGTTTCAACCCCAAATGGGTAATTTCCTACCCTGACTCTTCCTGCCCTGCTGGCATCACTTTAGCTGCCTCGCAATTCTGTGGAAGTGACGTTCGAAGGAAAGATGGCTCTGGCAGACCATGTTGCACAGATGTAATGTATTTAAGAGAAAACTACAGTAGCAACAATTCACAATTGATTCTGAGTGGACTACAAATCACAGTTCTTGTTCCCATGTACAGACTCAATGCGAAACTCAGTGCAGTGCCTCTAATACAGTTACACAGTGGCTATCATCGTGAAGCAGGAGGGTGCACTTTATAAAAACAAATAAATTATACGTTGAGCTAGTGTCAAGCTTTACATATAAAATGTAAAAATACAATCGTTGGTGTGATTTTCAAGGGTAATTAGTTGTGTGTGTAGGAGGAAACCAAAGCAGGAAAGTGCTCAGCCAGAGAGTAAAATGGCTGGGAACATCAGACTCCTACAATGCCTGCTCTCCCCCTCATTTGATGGTGCTTCAGCACTTGAACTGAAGGGGAATATTTTGATGCCCAGTGTCCCAATGCTAATGCCCAGTGCTCTAGATCACAGGTCTCAAATGCAGACTAACTGCCTGCCTGCTTTCTAACCATAAAAACCTAGTATGCCTACGAAAGTCATTTAACTTCAACTCAGTTGAGTGAGCAGGCCTGTAATTAGAGTCCTAAGAAAGGTTCAAATTGAATGAGGATTATTCTGGGCCAGAAAACCACTCCCATGGTTTAGCAGACAGTAATGTATTTCTGAGCTTGTCACATCTTCAAATGGCTGTTGTGTTAGAAATTTTTAAACATGCATCTGTTGGGTCTTCTTATGTGACCTAAGCACTCTGCTACTCTTAGTGTTGCAAGCATAACCCAGTTTAACAAAGGCCATTAACAAGGATTTTTTTTGGCTACAAATTTACTGTTGTCCAGCTACCTGTGGAAGGCCTTGGGTGGGATTGTGTGGTGCTAACAGAGCTGGGTGCTAATCCAAGAAGTTCTTATAAAACATCTATGACGTGACAAGCTGAACCTTAAATGCTAGTTGGTCAAAAGACACAGGTGCTAGCTCACTGTCCTAACTTGTACTGATGGAAATATAAGTTTGCTACATGACAACATAGGCCTGTACTTCTTGCAAAGGGGAAGGATGACCATGTAGTACAGCATATCTCCTGCAAGAGTTTACAATGGGCTAGAGATAAAGTGGTGTGTGCAGCAAGAGGAGAACTAGACTGAAAGAAGGAGGTTTGTGGAAAGAACTCCACATTTAAACTGGAGTATTATCCAGAGTTTTTCCTGGAGCAGCAAGTTTTTCCCTTCCCAAGTTACTTGATCAGAAAATGTGTCCAAAATAAAGTCCTACTGTGCTACATAGGCTAATGCTTATATTTATAGAAATTGATACATACATCTGTACTGCAACTGGCCAATGCGTACATATTGCTTGCAACTGCCTGTCCTACTAATTAGAGCCATATTCCTTTTGGTCTCCAAGATCCTGCACTCTAAATCTTATGCTGTATGTATATGGCATAACACAGCATATGATGTAAGTAGCTATGGAATTCACTATATAAGCATTTCAATGGAAATTACTAAATATTTTAGACTTCAACCTGCTTCTGTAGTGCTCATCAAAAGATCAGCGCTGGAGCTTCAAGAGCCATCACTTCTAATAAGGTTAATTTCTATTTACATTCCATGATCAAGGTGGTCATGTGGTCCAGCCATACTTCTGCAATGTTTTTACAATAGTCACATTTTAACAGCAAAGTGTTTTACTAAACTCTGTTTCATATCTAGAAACTAAAGACCAACACAGTAAAGGGGGAAGAGGTAAAATGTAACATTTAATGAATGGAATTAAAAATTAGTAAAGTAAGTGTGTGTGTGTTGGGGAGGGAGGGGGGAAGGGGATTAAAATCCTTGCTCCTTTAAGTTGGCAGGAATTTAGCCATTGACTTCAGTGGGGCCAAAATTTCATCCCAAATACCTGAAGCTGAACACCCAAAAATCCAAGCATCTAAACTCACTAACTACTTTGGGGAAAACCCCTGCCACAGTACTGAGGGCTTTAAAAGATCACACTAATTAATTCAGGTTTTTGCCACTTTAAGTTATTTAGATTTAGGGCCTCAATACTTTCACCACCATGTATAATTTACTGGGCACAGATCACTAGGGAAGGATTGCACATCATATGCATAGGGCCCTACCAAATTCACTGCCAAAAAACCATACTGGACCATGAATTCTGGTCTTGTGTGTGCTTTTGTCCTATACTGTACAAATTTCACAGGGGAACCCAGCATTTCTCAAACTGACATCCTGATCCAAAAAGAGGTTACAGGGGGGTTGGGTGGGAGGAGGGTGCACCAGGTTATTTTGGGGGGGGAGGGGTGTTGCAGTACTAACACCCTAACTTCAGCATGGTCTTCAGACCTGGGCGGCCAGAGGGCAGCAGCTATTGTCTGGGTGCCCAGCTCTGAAGGTGGTGCCCTTCCAGCAGCAGCACTGTAGTAAGGGTGGCAATACCATACCATGCCATCCTTATTTCTGCACTGCTGCTGGTAGCAGCTCTGAAGGCAGAGCTGGCTTCCTGGCCAGCAGGCGCTGCTCTCTGGCAGCTCAGCTCTGAAGGGAATGCCACCAGCAGCAGTGCCAAAGGGAAGCAATACCACAGCTCCCAACTCCTTTTTGGGTAAGGAGCCCTAAAATTATAACATCATAAAGTTTTGGACTTAAATATCTGAAAAAAATGTACAGTTGTTAAAATCCTATGACTGAAATAGACCATAATGCTCTGTGAATTTGGCAGGGCCCTAGCTACAAACTATGCTTCACTATTTTATTTTCGTAAGAGGTGCCTGAGGCAAGCACACAGTTCACTTCAACCTGCTGCATCAACTAACAAACTGGTCTTAAATTAAAATTCTGACCTCACCAACAGATCTCTCAGGCAGGTGAAGCTGCTGAGCAAATGGTTCAACAGGAAGTGCCACGTTTCTCCGTCACAGTAATGGCTTTGTTCCTGCAGCAACCTTTTTGGGCAAGTGTATTAATCCAGACTAAAATCTGAGCCAGAAAGCCACATGCATCCTAAACTGCAGCAAAGCTTGGAAGGAGCAAACAATCCAAAGCTCTACTGCCGTGGGTACAGTTGAATGGGAGTGAGGGGAAGTTGTACTGGAGTCAGTGAGGACTCAATACCTCTCTCAATCAGTGCAGTAGAGTGTGTGGGAAAATCTGCAATACCAGTCACAGATCCCCGGCACTGGATCCTGTAGCACTGCCTGAGAACCACTGTCCACACACCATCACAGCCTGGTCTTCCAAGCCTCACTGCTACTCATGTTTTCTATACTTCTCTACACAAGGCCTTTGAGGTAAGGGAGGGGAAGAGACCGAGGAGTGGCGATGTAGGATCAGCAACTCCTTCCTTAACAAGATCACTCTCGATAAGGATCTTGCAGAACCAGCCATATTCAGCAGCAGAATTCTTATGCTGAGGGAAAAGCCAACCCACAGCTAACCCACTCTTGCATCCCACCACAGTGGCTTAGTCCAGTTTTTATTTTCCACATTTAGATAGGTGCAGAATTTAGTTAAAAGTTTAAAAACTTTCTTTAAAATGTTTCCACTAACACTAACTATCTGCATGTAAATATAAAACATGGCTCTACGCAGGGGCCAGCTTCTGGCCCCGTCACAAAAACAGAAGCCTAGTGCCCTTGCAATTTCAATTATGCATTCCTGTCAGTCTACACTAATGATAATGAAGGGTATCAATCTATGGTCCAACTAGGCTCCTTCTCCTTCCTTTGGCCTTGTGTTAATAATCTTCTATATCACTCATCACAGGACCTAAATGATGTCTGCTGGGAACCCTGCTGCCTGCAGCCCTAATAGTCTCTTCAAGCTGACCTACTGTTCATATCCTATTCCATGCTGGCCAGCAGATACTTTCACCATTGCTACAGGAAGGCCAGCACTTTGCAATGGGTAGTCTGGTCAACATTCTTGCTTAAACGCTCCGACCTTCCACCTACAGAAATGCTGGGGAACTGCCATTAGGAGACATTGGACCCTTGATCCTCTTTCTGTTCTCACCTGATCTCTTTCCATTCTTGCTCCCACCCACACCTGCTATCAAAGTTTAGAACAGAATGCAGGGGCCTATTAACTGTTCTGTTTGTGCCACTAACCAGTGAGTTGATTATTCCTAAACAACAGCAGCTGGAAACATGCACAGAACCAAGATCAACAGTGAAAAATCCCTTCTAGCCCTAAAAAAAAATATATATATAACAAATTAGAGAAGACCAGCCTGTAGAGTGTCCCCATGTTCATGCCCTTCATCCTTAGGTCTCTCTTTCTCATCCAAACTAGGGTGCATGTCTATGGCTTAAAATATATTTAAACAGGGTCGCTAAGTCTTCTAGGAAATGAAGATGTCTGGGACAAAATATGGGCCCTCCATACCTTTCTCTAGGAATGCTAAGCTGTTTGGCAGAAGAATTCTTCCCTTCTCTGACTATGAACAGCAGATGAAACGCAGTTATGAGGTAAAGGGGCACCCATGGGCTGGCTTTTCAGTTATTTCCAAGTTCTGTGAAGAGAAGATGCAAAGACTACAAAGAGGGTTAAGGCCAAGAAAACTTGTCCATGTTGATACAAAAGGAAACAAGCAGAGGGGACACACATACACAGAGAAAAGAACAGCCTTAACGGTATAAAATTGTCACCGTGACTATTAGCCACCATTTATATTAATGACCAGCAGGTGGCCCTAAAAGTTCTTCTAATTTCTCCAAGTGTCAAGTTATGAAGCCCTGAACCATGATTTTCCACAAAGCTAAGGGCTGATATCACAGTGGACACCTTCCATCTATGGAGCAGTAAAAGGTAAAGAGATTAAATCAAATATGGATAAAACCCTCCTAGATTTTGTTATTCATGCCCAGAACTGGTTCCAGTGTATGTTTCCATCTCAGAGAGAAGCTCATACTTCCTTGGAGCTTTAAGTCATAATTTACACTCAAATTCTAGCTCAACTGCAAATAAGGTGAGTTTCCCCTCCAGAGTCTCAGCAAAGCAGCTGATTGTTTGTGGCCACCATCCAGCAAGAGCTTAATTCCAGGAAGGTTCTTTCCAAGGGCTCCTTGAAGATGCTAGAAGATTGGAGTTTTCAGCAGATTGGAAACACTGAAGATCCTTCCTCTCAGAGTTCAGTGGTGAGTAAACATTTCGGCCTTATCGCAGGATCCTCCGTGATGGGGCTAGAGAGGGAAAAGCAAAGTGAAGATGCTATAAATATGCTCTTCTGTGGAACAATCTGCTGGGAAGTATGCAGGATGCTACTACTAGGGCAAAGACCATGAGTTTAGCTGGGTCCCAACAAACTATATGACAGCTGGAGCGTAAGCGCGCACAGCTATGGAGGAGAAAAGGACACAGTCTGCTGCCTAGAGTACACCCAGTAACTAGCCTACATGCTCGACTGCTCAAGAGCAAAGTGCAGAAGAACAATTAGCAGTTGGTATGTTTACACTGCCCATGTTACAGCACTAGGATATGGGCAGTGTAGTCACACTAATCGCTGGGGAGAGCTCTCCTGGGAATAAAGCACCGTCTATACTGGTGCTTTTCAACACTAAAAATATTGCTTAGGGGGTGTTTTTTCACACCCGCGAATGACTAAAGTCTCCA